TCTCTCTCTCTCTCTCTCTCTCTCTCTCTCTCTCTCTCTCTCATAATAGTATCAGGGATTGGACCTAGACCCTGGCACTGCTAAACAAGCGCTCCCCCACTGAGATATTTCCTTAGTTTTATAAAGTTTCTGAGACAGGGTCTTGTCAAGCTGCCCAGGCTGAAACACTGGGAAGACCCTTTGTTTGGGGGTGGTGTCTCTGTGGACAGATTGTCACCCACATGCTTTGATTAAAACTTTCCTGTTGGCTTTTCTTGGTTTGATTTAGAACATGGGGATTAGAGTGACTTATAGAAAAATCCCACTTTTACATATCTGGGGAGATGCTCAGCAGGAAAACACCTGTCACCTAAGTATGCAGACTTGAATTCAGATCTCTAGGACCCAAAGTGTGGCGGTACCATCTAGAGTCCCAGATCCCACTGTAAGATGAGGCAGAGATCCTGTTTCAGAGGTGTAAGGTGTGGATTGTTCTCTGACCTCCACAGGCTTTCAGTGGCATGTGCTGGTCTTCACAGGACCATGTGCACACGCATGTATATACACAAAAGACAAGAGAAAAACACCCACGTGTAATAGATAAGTGTTCAATTAAATGCTTTCTGCTAACTTTGTAAAATGGGTTGTTACTTTATTTTCCGTCGCCTCAAGACATTCTTAATCCCCACTATTCCCAGCAAGGTTACCTCACAAGTGAAAACAGATGAAAGAGTTAGAAAGATGCATCTGTGAAGTCACCCCTCACCCCTGCTTAGGTCCAAACAGAGCTCGCTATCTCCCCATCCCAAGGTGCACTGTTTTAGTCATCACAGGGATGTGTTTCTTTTCCCTGTAGGTTTTGTGAGCTATGGACTCCTACGTGATTCAGACTGATGACAATGGCAGCCTGCCTTCAGTTCTGGATGTGCATGTCAATATTGGTGGGAGAAGCTCAGTGCAGGGGAAAATGAAAGGCAGGAGGGCCAGATGGAATGTGAAGCCCTCTGACATGTCCAATAAGACTTTTAATCCCATCCGGGCCATTGTGGACAACATGAAGGTGAAGCCCAATCCAAACAAAACTGTGATTTCGCTGTCAATTGGTAAGTTTGGGCCACTTGGTGAAGGGTTGGCATTGCCCACCCACCTTCCATCCTTTTGGGCAGGCTGGAAGAGATGAGAGGAAGACACTCAAACATGGGGATATAAACACTAGGTGGCTCTTTTGCCTTTCTCTTCCATGAACAGGGGACCCTACTGTGTTTGGAAACCTGCCTACAGACCCTGAAGTTACCCAAGCCATGAAAGATGCCCTGGACTCTGGGAAATACAATGGCTATGCCCCATCCATTGGTAAGCTTGACAGAGACAACCCTGGTGGCTTCAAGATCTGCAGTGCTTTTCTTGTTTTGATTTGGTTTTGATCATTGCTATATAATGAAGTCTGACCTCAAACTAGCAATCCTCCTGCCTTAGCCTTTCAAGAGCTCAGATCAGATTATAGGCATGTGCCAGGCTTTTAAACTTTGTGTGTGTGTGTGTATGTGTGTGTGTGTGTGTGTGTGTGTGTGTGTGTGTATGTGTTATGCAGAGAGAGAGAGAGAGAGAGAGAGAGAGAGAGAGAGAGAGAGAGAGAGAGAGAGAGAGAGAGCTCCATGGTATGTGTGTCTCAGTCACAGAACAGCTGTGGGAATTGGTTTTCTATTTCTATCGTATGTGTCCTGAGGATTGAACTCTGGTTGTCAGATTTGGCAGCAAACACCTTTACCTACTGAGCCATCTCACTGGCCCTCTTTCATGATTTTTAAATGGTACTCCATCTGTAGTAATTGCACCTGATCAGTGGTTCTGAAGAGCCCAAGATGAAACAGCCCTTTAGATTTAGGGAAAGGGTCCCACTCTAGATTCTTTTTAAAAATTTATTTAACTTTATTTTATGTGCATTGGTGTGAAGATGTCAGATCCCCTGGAACTGGAGTTACAGAGAGTTGTGAGGTGCCATGTGGGTGCTGGGAACTGACCCTTGGTTCTCTAGAAAAGCAATCAGTGCTCTTAACTGCTGAGCCATCTCTCTAGCTCCCCTTCCCCCACTCTGGATTCTTAAACATAGCTATTGGGGTCTAATTTCATCTGTATGCTGGCACCTCCCCATGAGGTGCTCAAACACAGTTATTCCTCAAGCAGCTCTGCCTGTCTTTACCACAAAGCCCCGAGTCTGGCTGGGACTCAGTCCTCCAGGCTATACATCGATTTATACTTCACCCCACATAAATAGCGCCTTTATTTCTTTATGGTTTGAAGCTTTGTTTTCATTCTGGCTTTGATCTTTTTGAAATGCATTTTTAAGTGTGTAAGGGGAACCTAACAAAGAATGGTTGTCACATTGGGGACAGAAGTTTTTCCCGAGAGCAAAATAAGTAATTCCTTGGCTTTCTTTTTTGTTTTTTGTTTTTTTTGTTTTTCGAAATAGGGTTTCTCTGTATAGCTTTGGAGGCTATCCTGGAACTTGCTCTGTAGACTAGGCTGGTCTCGAACTCACAGAGGCCTGCCTCTGCCTCCTGAGTGTTGGGATTAAAGGTGTGTGCCACCAACGCCCGGCCCTTGGCTTTATTTTCATGTAGTGTATCTTCCCCTGGGTGTTCTATATATTGAGGAATTCTTAATGCAGAATGAGAAAACAACAACCTAGTTTCATGCTAATATCAGATTCAAAAGCTTTTCCAAGAGGAATCAGGGAAATGGCTATTGTTGTTGTTATTATTATCATTATTGTCATCATCATCATCATCATTGACAGGGTTTCTCTGTGTAGCTCTGGCAGTCCTGGAATTCATTCTGTAGACCAGGCTGGCCTTGAACTCACAGAGGTCCGCCTGCCTCTCTCTCCCAAGTGCTAGGATTAAAGGCATGCGGCACCACTGCCCAGCTAGGACATGCTTTTAGGTGAATTACTTACATATTAGAAAGCTTCGTAGAACAACAATCAAATCCAATACTCAAAATTAGGTCACAAAATTACTATAATGGAGGCTAGTGAGATGTCTTAGTGGGTAAAAATGGGTAAAAAAACAAAAATAATTTTATTATCCAAAGTATCAGGGAACTAATTGAGCTTGGAGACTGGAGTCAAACCTTTGTCTGAGCAGTGTTCACAGGGTCTGAGCATTGCACAAGAAAAGGTGGAGGTGATGGTGGTCTCTAGGAATACGTTCTTCCTCATTAATAAAGTAGGAAATGTCCATCAATGTCACTTGAAAGAACCATTCATATATCTTTAAAAAGATGAATATGGTTTGTGTCCTTGCTAACTTGTGTCCTGGAAGGCAATTTTGTGAAACATTATAATAGATTTGAAACTGCCAATAAAATTCAAGCCTGCTGTGAGTTCGAGATGAGCCTGGGTCTACAAGAGCTAGTTCCAGGACAGTCTCCAAAGCCACAGAGAAAGCCTGTTTCGAATAACCAAAAAAAAAAAAAAAAAAAAAAAAAAATTCAAGCCTGCATGGCACCCTGAGAATGTTCCAGAAGAAGAGAGCCCATGTACAAAGATACTATGTTATATAAGATAAAACAATGAAAGCGTAACTTATGCATTGAAGCTGTTGATGGCATTTCAAACAACAGACTATATAAAGGCACTTAGGAATAATTTAAATCCTCATTTAAAGCAGCATAAATTAATCAGAGTATTCAAGATTATGTAGTGCACTTTATGGTTTGGGGAGCTGCTTCTTGTCGTCGTCATACATTTGCACTTTTAATAAAACTCACATATAAAGTTAATTTTTTTCATATATGGTGACTGGGCTACACAGAAAGAATTGGCCCTAAGCAAGGACAGAAGGCAGCTGGAAGCAGCGTAGAAGTTTGTGGCAAGACTGTCAATCAAGGGATGAAAACCTCAGCTTCTTCTGTCTTGTCTCAGGTTACCTATCCAGTCGGGAGGAGGTCGCTTCCTATTACCACTGTGCTGAGGCTCCCCTGGAAGCTAAGGTGAGCCAGCCAGGGTACCAGCTCAGAAGTCACCGAGGGCAAGCAGACTCCTTGCTTCTCTTCCACAGGAGTGGTGGTTTGAGGGAGCTGAGAAGAATCATCCTTTAACAAGTGGAGGACTTCTTATACAGTTGGGTCACTGATCAGTAATTGTGACTAATATCACCAGTGTAAGAGGTGTCTCCTACCACTTATATAGTGTTGTCACAGAGTCCCAAAGGACGCCCCCCAAACCATCCTAGATCTGATTTTCATCAAAAGATCATTGAGAAAGTATTCACAAATAACAAATAATTTAATTTAAAAGAATTTATCATTAGGATGTGTTTAAGTATGCATCTTCCTTTACTCACTTTAGGGCATTGAGACAGAATGCTAGGGTCTCAGGGCATACTGAGTCCATGTCAGTGCTAGCTTTAGAGGCTGCCCTTTCCTGTTATTGCCTTCATCCTCATCAAAGAGGTGTCTTTCATCTGTGTTCACAGAAATGCCAGGTTTCAAATCTGTGGTCAAAAGTAAATAAATAACCTGGTGAAAAATAGCTCAAGGTCAATCGAAGATCTCCCTTGAGAGTTGGTTGAATCATAACCAGCTTGTTCTTTCTAAAGTGATTTGTTTATTTTTCTTAAGTGGCCATCATTTTCAACAACATTTACAGATAGATGAGAGATGAGTAGTAGAAAGATAGACACATAGATGATAGATAGATGATAGACAGGTAGATAGATAGGTAGATAGATAGGTAGATGATAGATAGATAGATAGATAGATAGATAATACATACATAGATAGATACATAGATACATAGATAGATAGATTTGGATTGGGCTCAGGAAAACCTTTCCTATTTCCTTGGTCCTTACTGAAATAAATTCATCATTGCTTCCAACTCACCAACGCCCACCCTTCTCTTCTCTTTACAGGATGTCATTCTGACAAGTGGCTGCAGTCAGGCTATTGAGCTCTGTTTAGCTGTGTTGGTCAACCCAGGGCAAAACATCCTTGTTCCAAGACCGGGCTTTTCCCTCTATAGGACTTTGGCTGAATCTATGGGAATTGAAGTCAAGCTCTACAATCTATTGGTAATTGACTTTTGATTTTTTAAATGTTTATCTTGTATGTATGAGTATTTTGTCTGTGTGCCACACATGTGCCTGCCAGAAAAGGGTGTTAAAGCCCCTGGAACTGAAGTTACAAATGGTTGTAAGCCATCATGTGGGCGCTGGGAATTGAACCTGGGTCCTTTGCAAGAACAGCAAGTACTCTTAACCCCTGAGCCATCTCTCCAAGGCTCTGACTTTTAATCTTTGACTCAAGTACTCAGTTACTACCCTGTTAAAAAGAAATATCATTGTCATACAGAGAATGGTCTGCAGGGGAGGTTGGGGTCAAAGGCAGATTTTATTCTTTTAAAATATTGTATTTATGTTGAATGTATGTTCACGTGCATACGTGGGGCAGTGAATTTAGTGTGTTCAAGCCATGGCACACATGTAGAGGTATAAGGACACATTTCAGGGTTGTGTTCTCTCCTTCCACCATGTGGGGCATAGGGATGGAACTCAGGTCATCACGCTTGATGGCAAGTGCCTTTACTGGCTGAGCCATCTCACTGGCCTCTTATTTTATTCTTTACACTAAATCATTGGGTTGAGAATTTCCCCTAAATTGTTCAGAAACATCTTAGTCTCACTCTTTTTCCTTTCTCAGCCTGAGAAGTCTTGGGAAATTGACCTGAAGCAAATGGAATCTCTGATTGATGAAAAAACAGCTTGCCTTATTGTCAACAACCCATCAAATCCCTGTGGTTCCGTGTTCAGTAAGAAGCACCTTCAGAAGATACTGGCAGGTAAATGCCAAAGGCCCCTGCACACGGGAGGACTGGAGAGCAGAATCCCCAAGTCCTGAGCCTGGGATGGAGGTGGAGAAATGCCAGCCTTCTCTAGTGATGAAGTGTCATAGGCCCCCAGGGCTAGCTCAAAAGATATGCGATATGAGAAATACAAGCTGCACTTAAAAACTGGCAAGCATTCCTTCCATTTTGGTGCATTTTGTATTTTCAGATTAGAAATGTTCAAATGTCAAGTCTGCATAAAGAGCCCCAGTTCTCCCTTTTTAAAACCTCAAACAGCAAACAAACAACAACAAAAAACCCAGCAAAGTGTAACAATAAAACACTCAAATCCCAAATACCCCCGATCCCAGGCATTTTGGTTAAAGAGGTACTTCAACCATATTTGCCTTTCGTCATTACCGTCATGGAAGACAGAGTCTGGATGTGTGGCTAAATGGCACATCTAGGCTAACATCCTGGAAGAAGGTCAGGTGTATTTAGTTCCTAAGAGGATGGATGGTCAGCCCATGAGCACAGAATACAGATCACAGAGGACTAGGTATGCAGGAAATGACAAGGTCAATCAAACTGAAAATGATTCCAGTGTGGTTTTTGTTGTTTTCAGTGGCTGAAAGGCAATGTATCCCCATCTTAGCTGATGAGATCTATGGTGACATGGTAAGTCTGGGGAAGGTTATAACACTATAGGAGTGTCAGTACCGTATTGTTTTTTGGGGGCCTCAAGAGTTGGCTAGTGGGATCTTTGGAAGCAATTGGTCATAATGTTCAACTCTCTCAACAAACATGTCTCCTTAACCTTTGTTTGTTTTTTGAGACAGGGTTTCCCTGTGTAGCTTTGGAGCCTGTCCTGGCACTCACTCTGTAGACCAGGCTGGCCTGGAACTAACTCATAGAGATCCACCTGCCTGTGCCTCCTCAGTGCTGGGATCAAAAGTGTGTGCCAGTTTCCTTAGCTTTTTATTTATTTGCTTATTTAATTCAAAGAACTGGGAAATCCAGAGGTTCTTGGAATTTACTTGAATATAGATGCCAAGTCGGTAGGATATAAAGGTACTTGTAGATTCTTTTTTGTTTATGGCTCTTTTTTGCGGGGGGAGGGCTTCGAGACAGGTTTTCTTTGTGGCTTTGGAGGCTGTCCTGGAACTAGTTCTTGTAGACCAGGCTGGTCTCGAACTCACAGAAATCCTCCAGCCTCTGCCTCCAAGTTCTGGGATTAAAGGCGTGCACCATCACTGCCCGACCTATTTCTTTATTTCTTTCTTTTTTATGACTCTTATGGATGTGTATTTTTAAAAGTTTGTGGAGGGTCCTCAAAATGTAGCTTACTGGTTGAGTGCATGCCTAGCTAGCATGCTTGAGCTGGGTCCAGCTCCCAGGATCAGAAATAAGTTTTAAAAAAAAAAGGTGCAAATGAAGAGGAAAGGCTGTTAATATTACTGCTTGGGCAAGTATTGCTATAGACTTCCTTGGAAATATCACACATGACATATGTGCGCACATGACATACATGTGGTATTGCCTTTTAACCCCTCCAAAAGTCTGAGTTCTGCAACAGAGTTGGACCCAGGAATGTTGGATACTGGACTGTAGACTCACATGAAACCTATAACTCCACCAGTCTTAAGTCCACAGTGTCAGTTTTTAGAAGCTGTACAAGCTATTAGACTAGCAACACAGTCCTCATTTTAGGTTTCCTTTAATCCAGACCATACATCAAATCAAATGTCTTTGGATAAGTTTTCCTGAACCTTGTGGGATCCAGTGATGCCTGAGGGTGGGAAGGGGCCTGTCAATCCATTACTTTTATCCTCCACGTCTAAGGAGACTAATGGGAGGCATGGGATCCAGAGCATTTAAGAGTTCTTCTTTTCCTCAGGTGTTTTCAGATCACAAATATGAACCACTTGCCACCCTCAGCACCAATGTCCCCATACTGTCCTGTGGTGGGCTGGCCAAGCGCTGGCTGGTTCCTGGTTGGCGGTTGGGCTGGATTCTTATCCATGATCGAAGAGACATTTTTGGCAATGAGGTGAGAACAATATGGTAAAATGTGTGAATAATTTAATATATGTATTTGGCTTGGATACTCAGTGTTGCAGAGGTAGGGTTCCTCCCCCTCCTGATGTATTGTTCGCCTGGAAACATGATGGATGAAGATGTGGTAGCTATTCCTCATCCAAACCCAGCATTCACATGCTTGGGTCTCTGGGTCTGTGAAGAAATCTCATCCACCTCCAATTTAAGGCTATAAAAGGGCAAACAATCATGGTAATGACAGCACCATTATTCATGTTTTATGAATCCTATTTTTATTTTATGTTCATAACACCCTATGAGACCATTTTACAGCCAAGAAAAACAGGGTGCAAAGAGATTACATTGTCTGCTTGCAGCAGACTCAGGCTGTGACAGAGAAGGCTTGCAGACTCGGTGATTTTTTAATGTAACAGGGTCACTAGGTGCCATCATGTCCTGAGACTAGAACAGGACTGAAAGGTCAGAATAGAGTCACAGCACGGGGATGTTTGAGAAAGGCTAAATAATTTGTTTCCTCGGGATTCTAGATTCGAGATGGATTGGTGAAGCTGAGTCAGCGGATCCTGGGACCATGCACCATCGTCCAAGGAGCTCTGAAGAGCATCCTTCAGCGTACCCCTCAAGAGTTCTACCACGACACTTTAAGCTTCCTTAAGGTAAAGAGGTGCTTGGGGCCTTCCAGAGAACACATCAGTGGCATTAGGAATAATTGTCCCTAATTTCTGGAGCACTGTTCCAATGAGGGGCTTCCGAATCAGAAGGTGGCATCAGTGTCATTTTCCATAGGCACATTCCTCTCACTTCCTGCAATTCACTCTGTCTTGCTTAGAACTTTAAGTGATGGGGTTTGTTCTTGTTACCTCTTTGTGCTATAACGTTAAGCCTAGGTTTGTGGCCTTCTGAAGGCTCTACCTTCAATGATGTTTCCCTTCTTCTTTTTTTTTTTAAAATAACTTTATTACACAAAACGTTACAAATAAAAATCATGCTTTTCTTTTACTTAAATTTGATCCTTGTTGTTTTTCTCTCTCTCTGCCTCTTCTTGTAGTCCAATGCAGACCTCTGCTATGGGGCATTGGCTGCTATTCCTGGACTCCAGCCAGTCCGCCCTTCTGGAGCCATGTACCTTATGGTAAGTGTGTGTGTGTGTGTGTGTGTGTGTGTGTGTGTGTGTGTAGTGATAAAGCACAGGAGCCTGGCTTGGCAGGATGGCGCATGGGTGGTCATACAGGGTATGCATCCATCTACAAAGACAATGAGTTAGGCCCGGTCCCCATCATTTGAGGAAGTGACTTGATAGGAATGATCCCAGTGCTTTAATTTAAACTGTGTTCACAACACTCTCTCAATAACCTTATTCTCCAGCACAGTCACTCATCTCGTGCACAGATACAGGGGCATGCTTTGTGTCATGACTGAGAGTGATGTCGGTTCCTTCAGAGGTAGGGGACCACATAGGGATTTTGTCTTCTGGCTCACTATTGCTATTTGTAGCCCAGAGATGCTAAGTGTCCTGCAGTTGATAGGGTAGATCCTACAAAGTAAAAAAAAATAACCTGGTCCTAATGCCAACTTTACCTCTTTTGAAAAAAGAGAAATGGCATTCCTTTTCCTATTTTCATTTATCAATATCCATGGAGGAACCCTCCAATAAACTACAATATGAACTTAAACATGTCCTCTCCTCCCTCCTAGGAGCTCTCCAGTTTCCTAGCATTGGTTCTCTTAGTTATGGGTGGGAGAGTTCCCAGATGTTTTCAAGGAGTCCCTGCTCTTGTTTCTGACATAGGAAACTGGCCCATGTTCTTCTGGTGACACACTGGCCTCTCTTTTATCATTGGTTCAGGTTGGAATTGAGATGGACCATTTCCCAGAATTTGAGAATGATGTGGAGTTCACAGAACGGTTAGTTGCGGAGCAGTCTGTCCACTGCCTCCCAGCAACGGTGAGTGCTGGAGTCTCCAGACATCCTAACAGCTCCTGGAGACCCTGAGCTGTGGTTTAGCCTAGCCTTCTCTCCCATGGCAAGTATTCTCATTTGATAAGATTCCAACTCATGTGTTTTATGGCTTCTACCTAAAATCAGTTTCTCCACTATCATTAACCCCCTACCCCCAGTAACAAGAAGAAAAATTGAAAACACTGTGGTGGGTGGGAGGAGAACAGGCTATTTTAAGATGAATTAACTCAGTTGCTGACTCAGCACTCCAAGGATGGGGTGTGGAGCAAACTGATATCCCTGATGGAATAGCATTACCCTGTCTCGAAGACTTGAGGCCTGGCTATGCCAGGGTGAGCTGGTATCAGATTTGGTAGTCCTGAAGATAACAAGTCCTTGTTTTTGCAGTGCTTTGAGTACCCAAATTTCTTCCGAGTTGTCATCACGGTCCCCAAGGTGATGATGCTGGAGGCTTGTAGCCGGATCCAGGAGTTCTGTGAACAGTACTACCACTGTGCTGAAGGCAGCCAGGAGGAGTGTGACAAATAAACCCTCATGCCTCCTCCTGAAGACATGTCCCATCCAAAGAGGGCTGGACTGGGCTGGCCCTCCTCAGGGAGTCAGCTGTCTCTTCTGGGAGAGGGACCTCAAAAGAACTACACCAAGAATCGAGGATTATTTCTACCTTCCCCAGTTACATCCAGTACACACCCGGAATCCCAGATTCTCCCCTCACCTGACTCTGCAGGAGGAGCTCACGAGCTCATTACACACATCCCCAACATCTAACTTCCTTATCCTGAGAGCACCGGGCAAACCGTTTAACAGAAAGAAGCTGGGACAAGAAAAGTGGGTGCTCAGGATAGGGGAGGCAGAAGACAGGGGATGGCTTCCACACCCATTTCTTCATGCTGTCAGAGGAGCACCCTCTCCAGTCAGGTCCCAAGTCACCTCTGTCGCTGCCTCCCTTCAGGCATAACTCACTCTTTACCATAGAGTTACACTGGAAAGAAGTTAGGGACATGTGGATTTGGTTAGTTGTATTCTAAACACATTAGAAACTTTCTCTTTAAAGGATCCTTGATAGAATTTTTTTTTTTTGTAAAGAATTATTTTGCGGTGGAAATAGCTACCAGCTTCCTAACCGGTCAACTTCCTAAGTTTATATCTACTTGCATCAGGTTTTCTCAAAAACAGAAAGACACCTCATTGTGGGAGAAAGAAGGAATGCGAGCCCTTTGCAGAGACACTGCAGCACCCTCCTAATATCCTTCTAGTAGAGTCATGTGAACATTGATTTATTAATATTTGTTATGTTATCTTTTCATATGTTTTCTAAGAAACATTTATATTATTAGAACTTTTATTTTGTCAAGGGCATAAATTATTATTTTCTTTTTTAAAATAAATTTTATCATGTGTGCATCTCTGTGTGATGTGTTTTCTCAGGGGGTTTTCCATCCCAAGTCTCAGTCCAGTCCATTACCCACTAGGTCTCTGTATTAGTTCTTTCCTCATTGCTGTAACAAAACACCTGACCAAAGCCACTTAAGGAGTGGAGGGTTTATTCTGCCTCTCAGTTCTAGGGTATGCAATCTGTCATGGGGCTGTGGGGGGGGGGTGCTCGGTGAGAGGAATACTTGCTGTGCTCAGTTTTTTAAAAGATTTTATTTATTTATTTATTATGTATACAACATTCTGCTTCCATGTATATCTGCACACCAGAAGAGGGCACCAGATTTCATTACCGATGGTTGTGAGCCACCATGTGGTTGCTGGGAATTGAACTCAGGACCTCTGGAAAAACAGCCGATGTTCTTAGCCTCTGAGCTATCTGTCCAACCCCGCTGTGCTCAATTTAAATTCTCCTTTTTTATTCATTCCAGGGCCCCAGCCCATGGAACAGCACTGCCTACAGTTAGGATGCATGTTACCAATTCAGCTATCCTACCCTATAATATCCCTCACCTGCATGCCCATATGCTTCTCTCTTGGGTTATTCTAGACTGTGTTAAACTGGCGACCAATACCAACCATTCTAGGATCATCTATTTCTTTGTAGACATACTGATTTTGGAAGTTACAAACAAACGTGTATATCTTCACTTTCAATGTTTTGGGTCCCTACTCTTTGATACCAAACACTTACCTATCCTTGCCTGGATCCTCTAGCCACTCAGTGGGGAACAGAGTGGAAGGAGTTTCGCTTGACCTGTGGATGAGAAGTATTGGAATCTTTCAGCACTTTGTCTGCAAACCCTCTTAGGAGCAATCACCTATTTACAAGTTTTCCTCAGCATCTCTGTTAGAGAAGGGAGGAGAAATCTTGCAAGGTGGGCCTGGGGCTGTGTTAGACCATCACAGCCTGGAGATAGCTTACAAGGCAAGTTTCTTAATTAGTAGAGGACCTTAGGCTTGAGGGTGGTGGCACACACCTTTAATCCCAGCTCTGGGAGGCAGAGGTAGGTGGATCTCTGTGAGTTCAAGGCCAGTCTGGTCTACAGAGCTAGTTCCTGGACAGGCTCCAAAGCTACACAGAGAAAGCTTGTCTTGAAAAACCAAAAAGAAAAAAAAAGAGATATTTAGGATATCAACTCTGCCAGTCACACCCAAAGGATTATCTTCACAAAAAATAAGCACCAAACGGCCCTTCTAACCTATGTTTCAGTTCAGTGAACTCCCAGAAAATTTTATGTCTTAATTTTCCCTATCAAACCCATAATGAAGGAACATACAATGATTGAAATGTTAAACACATTTGTTTCCTGTATGCCACCAGTGTGGACATCTTCCAAAACTGTCTGGCTCCTCTTTTCCTGTCTCCTGTCCCCAAAGAAATAAACAGGAAGATGGTGCTTTATACAGACGTTTAGCTTCCCCTGCACAGACAGTTCCATCAGGCACCACTAGCAGAATTCTGCCCAGACCCTGTAATTCCACAGTTCATTGGTGTCTACATTTTGGTAAATGAGCCAGATGAACAGTCAGACATTTTGAGGGAGAAAATGACTGGGGATGTTGCTGAGTGGAACAGCATTTGGTGAGTAGGTGCAAGACCCTGGGTTCATCCCGACCATTACAGATGGGGTAGGAAAAGTATGGGGTCCAAGGAAAGTGGGGGTGGGCAGTGAGGGATGTATGCACTGGGCAAATGTTAAACAACACACACACGCATCCAGTGCTTTATACAAAGGTCCTGTCTCTCAGCCACCCAGTTCTTCTCTGGTAAGGAAATGAATATTTAGTGGTCCACACTGAAAATTATTCTGAGCAGATGTGAATGCTGTGTGTGCATTCGCAGGCGCAACTCCCCCTTTAAAACCCAGAGACTTAACTTTACAGCTCTGAGCCCTACCTAGGTCGAAGGAGGGACAGCATATCTAAAGTGTTCCATACGTCCTGAATGTCTCTAAAAAATCCTTCCTGTCCCCTAAGCTTAACATTCTGGAAAAATGCTTTTCTACCTAGCAGTGTCCAAGAGTCTCCGAATAACACAACCTGGGTAGGAAGTCGGGGGACAAGGCTGCAAGCTATGGCTCCACCTCTCCATGTCTGAGCACAGCCTACCACTTTACAGGTCCGCACCAAGATTAGGTGGCACAAAGTGCTCCAAACTTCACCCTAGATCTCAACTCTCCATCCTGGAAAACCCAGACAAAACTGCACAGGCACCGATGAATGGCCCCAGGGGTGCTTGTGAGCAAGCTTTGAAGACAGCTCTGATTGTTTACACCTTCAGTTTGAACTTGACGCCCCTGCCCAACGTGAGATTCCCTTCCTCTTGTATGCTTTCGGGTTCCAAGAATTTGACAAGTCATCCCTGGGCATCGTAAACACTGGGAAGAGTTCCCAGCTCCAGGCCAGTCCCACCAGATGTGAAGCAGAGTGTGAGGTTAGCTGATGTCAAAAGTATGGCCCTTTGGAACGTCTCTTCCAAGAATTGTGCCCCTCACGGTTGTGCACGTCTGCTGCTGCTGGAAAAATGAATCCACTCCAGTGGGCTTGTCAGAGATGAAACTGGGCACAGTCAAGGGACAAGGGCAGATCAGCGATATGTGGTTATAGTTGGGAAGCAATCAGCATGAAGTAAAGGGAACTTTAATTTCTACAGACTTGGTAGTGAAGGAAACAGGTTGGGCCCAATAAGAGGGAGGTTTCCACAGGTTCAGGAAGTTGAAAAATTGGGAGAAGAGGAGGAGGAGGAGGAGCAGCAGGAGCAGCAGGGGGAGATGACAACAACAACGAAGAAGTTGCCTCATGTAAAATGCACCCTGGAGTGTGTGGTTAAATGACACTTGGGGAAGTGTTGGTCTCTGTGTTTCTGGTGGAGGCTGGGAGATAGGGAGACTGTAGTCGGACATTGTCTGAAGCAAACAGTCAATTCTCTGTATAGCCTTGAGTCTCAGGCAGCCTCCTTAATACCTGGAGCATCCTAGAGAGGTAATTTTGGGTTGCTAAAAACTGTTCCTGCTTGGTTCAAGTCTTATTGAAACTACTAATAGTTGAGAGAGGGTTCAGAGAATCCTGACGAGAGTTTGGTCAAGGAGAGACTGTCAACTCCATGTCCTCCAGATACTACTGTGAACTGATTGTAAGAACCCTAAAGTTGAATGGTCTCATTGTGAATTCTGCTTTACTGTAAACAATCTAAATATGCTTGCAAACACATCTGTAAGACTGTGATGGTAGCCTGGAGCGTCTGCCCAGGCCCACACACCTGCAGCAACCTCATTGCCCTCATTCTCAGATACCTTACTGACATAAGATCTGTAAATTCTTACCAAACAGATAATCCCAATGCCAGGATGCCTCACCTGGGAAGTGAGTTAAATCAAAGAAAGTACTGGCTTGTGAGACATGTCCTACCCATGGGCAGGGATGGGAAGAATTAATACTAAAATGTTCATAGGATCCAAAGGGAGCTACGGATTCACAGTTATCCTCATTCAGATCACAACGATTGTTTTTTATAAGTAGTACCCGACTCTACTCTTAAAACTTTCATGCAAATGTGCATTGCAGCACTATAACCAAAAAGGGGGAACAACTCAAATGTTCATTGATGGCATCACAATAAAATAATATAACAGAATGGTACTTAAAAGTACAAAGGGAAACAAGAGATAGCCCAGAAGTTAAGAGCAATGGCTGCTATTCTAGAGGACCTGGATTCCTAGTACCACATGGCAGCTCACAACCACCTGTAATTCCAGAGGATCCAACACCTTCTATTCATCCCAAAAGACTTGTACATATTATAAAACAATTGAAATAAGTCTTAAAAAATTTCAAGGTAGAAAAGGAATAAAGTAGTGATACATGCTACAACATTGTTGAACCTTGAAAATGCTGGGCCAAGTAAAAGTTGCTAATCAAAAATACTACATGTTGTGTGATTCCATTAATATCAAATGCCTAAATAGGCAAACTCATCGAGACTGAAGAATGATTATCTGGTTGCCTAAGGCTGGGAGTGAGGGTCAGAGTGGGAGATGGAAAGATTTTGCCTATGGATGCAGGGCTTGTGCTGGGTGAAGAGTATTCTCTAA